GGTGAATGCCGTGAAGGAACGAAAGCGGCAGTCGAGTGCCCACCATGTCGCAAGCAGAGGTTTCGTAGCCCTTCGTGTTGAAAGAACCCTAAACCCACCAGCCGTAAACCATAAACCCTCCACCCTCCACCCTAAACCCCAAACCCTAAACCCCAAACCCTAAACCCCAAACCCTAAACCCCAAACCCCAAACCCTAAACCACAAACCCCAAACCCCAAACCCGAAGCTCCAACCAAGGCCTTCAAGCGGCAATGGTGGGCCCACTGTGACAGCTGGGGCGGTGGCATTCGGGACCCCAGTGGCGGACTTAAGTGAGCGAGCTCGTTCAGGGTTCAGGGTTTAGGGTTTTAGGGTTTTAGGGTTTTAGGGTTTTAGGGTTTTAGGGTTTTAGGGTTTTAGGGTTTTAGGGTTGGGAGTCAGTGGCTGGCGTGGGGTTTAGGGTTTCCAGAGTTCGGGGTTTTGGTGGGTTCAGGGTTCAGAACCCAAAGCCCTGATTTCTAAATCCTAGGGTTTAGGGTGATGTTGCGGGGGTTTCAGGATTGAGAGTGGGGTTGAGGGTTTCAGGGGTTGAGGCTTCTAGGGCTGTTCGGGTTTGAGGTCTTAGCTTTTGACTTTTCAGGGGCTTAAGGCTTCAGGGCTTGAGGATTTGAGGGCTTTTTCTCAGGGGGTTGGGGGGGGGGGGGGGGGGTACCCCTAAACCCTAACCCCTAAACCCTAAACCTTAGGCCCTAAACCATAAACCCTTTAAACCCTTTAAACCCTTTAAACCCTTTAAACCCTTCAAACCCTTCAAACCCTTCAAACCCTTTAAACCCTTTAAGACCCTTTAAACCCTTTAAACCCTTTAAACCCTTTAAACCCTTAAAACCCTTTAAACCCTTCAAACCCTTAAAACCCTTTAAAACCCTTTAAACCCTTTAAACCCTTTTAAACCCTTTAAACCCTTGAAACCCTTGAAACCCTTGGAACTATGTAGCTCTAAACCCACGAGGCCGCCACCGCATCGAGTTCCTCGAGAACTTTCTGGCACGATGCCCCGACAGCGACTTCTTCACCCTGCAGCCCGGCAGGTTTAGGGTTCAGAGTTTAGGGTTTAGGGGGTTTACGGGGGTTTAGGGGGTTTGGGGGGTTCAGGGTTTAGGGTTTAGGGTTTAGGGTTTAGGGTTTGGGGGGTTTAGGGTTTAGGGGTGGGGTTGCTGGGCAGCCCTAACCCCCCTAACCCCCCTAGACCCCTGAACCCCTGAAACCTACACCCTAAACCTCAAGGCATTAAGAGGGCTTAGGTTAGGTGGTGATGGTTCAGCCCCGGAAGCCCTAAGACCCAAACCCCCCGAATCCGATTCTAGGGTTCAGGGTTTCGGGACCCTAAACCCTAAACCCTAAAATCTCTAGGCTTTGGCACGCTGGACAGTGAACCCTAAGCAAGGGCCAGCCTACGTCAACCCTAAACCCTAAAAACCCTAAAAGCCCTAAGAACCCTCAAGACCCTGAAAACCCTGAAAACCCTGAACCCTAAACCCTAAACCCTAAACTCTAAACCCTAAACCCTAAACCCTAAAGCCTAAAAGTTCAGAGGCGTGTCCGGCTTGCAGGTGGTGGTCCTGGTCCCGGGGGGTTTGCCCTGGTTGGAAGCGTAGATCGAGTAGTTAGGGTTTAGGGTTTAGGGTTTAGGGTTTAGGGTTTAGGGTTTAGGGTCTAGGGTCTAGGGTCTAGGGTTTAGGGTTTAGGGTTTAGGGTTTAGGGTTTCGGGCAGCTCCTAGGGGCCGGTAGAAATTTTTTGGGGCTCGGGATACCCAATTTCTGAGGAGGTCCGTAACTGGGTTTAGGGTTTAGGGTTTAGGGTTTAGGGTTTAGGGTTTAGGGTGCGCACCGAGGCAGACAGATCGAATTCAGGTGACTGTCTGAGGGCTTTATGGGGGTTTGCGATATTGGGGGGGGGGGTACCTGTTTTGGGGTCCTTTGTATACGGGAGCCTACTATTTGGGGGTCTATTACCCTAAACCCTAAACCCCTAAACCCTAAACCCTAAACCCTAAACCTTAAACCCTGAACCCCTATTTTCGTAAACCCCCTTGTGGAAGTTGTGAAAGTCTGGGCATCTCCTCGACAGCTTTTGCAGCTCATCGCAGCCAAGAGCTGGAACCCCAAACCCCAAACCCCAAACCCCAAACCCTAAACCCTAAACCCTAAACCCTAAACCCTAAACCCTAAACCCTAAAACCTAAACCCGGGTGCCCAGATCAAAGGCCCGAGCCTGATCGGGTCGTGTCCCAGAGATTTGAAGGCTTTTCCGTGCTTCATGGGCCACACTTGTCTCCGAACAACGTGGCTCCCCATGCACGCCGATCTTCAGTTCGTGTGATGGTAGGAAAACATGCCGCCCCCTTGAAGGTCCCTAAGCCTCAAAATCCTTAAGCCCTGCGCCCTAATTAAACCCTAGACCCTAAACCCTAAACCCCAAACCCTAAACCCTAAACCCTAAACCCTAAACCCTAAACCCTAAGCCCTAAACCCTAAACCCTAAACCCTAAACCCTAAACCCTAAACCCTAAACCCTAAACCCTAAACCCGAACCCCTAACCCGCAACCCCTTGTACTGTTGGGTTTTTTTTTGGGGTGGTGGGGTGGATGCAACTGGATGTCAGCGTGCGACGGGCTGCGGAGCAACAGCGATCGACACTGGTAGCTTTGGCCCAAAAGCGGCCCGTGGAACTCAGCAGGGTTTTGGGTTTAGGGCGTAGGGTTTAGGGTTGAGGGTTTAATTAGGGTTTAGGGTTTAGGGTTTCGGGTTTAGGGTTTAAGGCGTATGGTTTAGGGTTTAGGGTTTAGGGTTTGGGGTTTGGGGTTTAGGGTTTAGGGTTTAGGGGCCCTATAATCTTGGGATGCCGGGGGGGGGGGGGGGGGGGGGGGGGGGGTGGGCCTTCTTTGCCATCGACTCCTTGAAGTTTCATCTTGCCAGAAAGAACTGACTGCCCAGATTCTCAACAGCGCTAAACCCTAAACCCTAAACCCTAAACCCTAAACCCTAAACCCTAAACCCTAAACCCTAAACCCTAAACCCTAAACCCTAAACCCTAAACCCTAAACCCTAAACCCTAAACCCTAAACCCTAAACCCTAGACCCTAAACCCTAAACCCTAAACCCTAAACCCTAAACCCTAAACCCTAAACCCCAAACCCTGAACCCTAAACCCTAAACCCTAAACCCTAAACCCTGAACCCTGAACCCTAAACCCTAAACCCTGAACCCTAAACCCAAACCCTAAACCCTAAATCCCATCAGAGTGGCTTCAGCTCCGGTCCCGCTCATTCCGACGGGCTCTTTATCTGGCATGGTCGGGAAGCCGGCGCGTTGAACTCTGGTCTTCCCGGTTTAGGGTTTAGGGTTTAGGGTTTAGGGTTTATGCAATCGGTCATGCGGACTGTCACGAAGCGAGACACTTGGCGACTAAACGGATTCCAATTCAGATTTAAGTGAGGGTTTAGGGTTTAGGGAGATGGGCGTTGAGGTGTTTCTCCCCCGTCCTCCAGAGTGGCAAGCGCCAGCCGTTCTGAGCACAGCCTGCTTTGGGTTGTCCTTAGAGTCCGGGCCTTGGGTTTAGGGTTTAGGTTTTAGGGTTTAGGGTTTAGGGTTTAGGGTTTAGGGTTCAGGGTTTCGGGTTTAGGGTTTAGGGTTTAGGGTTTATAGGGTTTAGGGCACGATCCCAAATCCTGAAAGTCTGAGAGCCAGCCTGAAGAAGCCGATGTGAGATTTTGGGGGAAGGGGGTGGTAGGATTTAGGGTTTAGGGTTTTGGGTTTAGGGTTTAGGGTTTAGGGTTTAGGGTTTAAGGGGGTCCGAAGGCCTGACTGTAAGGATCTCCCGCGCTCTCGGTGAAACCGGGCCACCGGCATGGCTTCAGCAGCCCTCTTTGAACCGAAGGGTACCCAACTCTAAGAGGTTTAGGGTTTAGGGTTTAGGGTTTAGGGTTTAGGGTTTAGGGTTTAGGGTTCAGGATTTGAGACCTAAAACCTCGAAGACTTCCTAGACACAAGAGCCACAGGAACCCCTAAACCCTAAACCCAAAGCTCTAAACCCTAAACCCTAAACCCTAATCCCTAAACCCTAAACCCCAAACCCTAAACCCTAAACCCTAAACCCTAAACCCTAAACCCTAAACTGTAAACCGTAAACCCTAAACCCTAAACCCTAAACCCTAAACCCTAAACCCTAAACCCTAAACCCTACTAAACCCTAAACCCTAAACCTCGAAACTTCCCCGGACCTGAGCCCTCGGGTTGAGGATGACAGGCGACTTAGGGATGCGGAGGGGCCCTGAGGATGACGGAGAAAGATTGCGAGGGGCTTTAGGATTCAGGGTTAGGGTTTAGGGTTTAGGGTTTAGGGTTTAAGGTTTAGGGTTTAGGGTTTAGGGGGTTTAGGGGGGTTTAGGGGGGTTTAGGGGGGTTTAGGGGGGTTTAGGGGGTTTAGGGGGTTTAGGGGGTTTAGGGGGTTTTCAGGGCTTAGGGTTTAGGGTTAGGGTTTAGATTTTAGGGTACCTACTTTTCGAACACCTGCGGTTCGAGGGGTGACAACCTTGGAAGCTTCCCCCCAGAAATAGGCCGCCGTTGTTGCGGGTTTAGGGTTTAGGGTTTAGGATTTAGGAGTTAGGATTTAGGGTTTAGGGTTTAGGTTTTAGGATTCAGGGGTTAGGATTTAGGGTTTAGGGTTCTGCAGGGCTTTTTTGACCCGGGCGGCTCCAAACCCTGTCAAATTGTCAAAGCCCAGGACCCTAGGCCCTACACCCTAAACCCTAAACCCTAAACTCTACACCCTAAACCCTAAACCCTAACCCTAAACCCTAAACCCTAAACCCTAAACCCTAAACCCTAAACCCTAAACCCTAAACCCTAAACCCTAAACCCTAAACCCTAAACTCTACACCCTAAACCCCCAACCCCCCAAAACCCCAACCCGGCAAGAGCCCCCAAGAAACCCCTAAGCCACATCCCGTGTGCCAGCTGGCGGCCGCCCGTGAGCCGCAGCCAGTGCCTAACCAGGCCGGGGCAACCAAGGACGGACCCCTAGAAGGGACCCTTAATCTATGACTTCTATATTAAATAACCCTTATATGTATATAAATAAATAAATATATATATATATATATATATGGATATATATATATATATATATACCTTATATAGTCCCCATGTACCTAAGAAGCCCCTAAATAACTCCAAATAGCCCCTAAGTTCCCTTATAAGGATCCCTCCTGTAGTCCCTTGATCCCAGATGCCGTGCTCATGCGGTTTAATTGGGCTTGGGGTTTGAGAGTTCAGGGTTAGGGCAGAGGGTTTAGGGTTTAGGGCTTAGGGTTTAGGGCAGGGTCAGAGGGTTTAGGCGGTTTGGCATGTAGCGCGTTTAGGGTTTAGGTTTACTGTGTGGGGTTTGTGGTTCTGAATGGGGTGGGTCAGGGACGTTTCGAGGTACCTCTTGCTTGTACTTGTGGGTCTGCAGCCCCTCAACCAAAGAAACATAACTCCCAAACCTTCCAAACCTAAACCCGAAACCCTACACCCTAAACCCTAAACCCTAAACCCTAAACATCTGAAACCCGAACCCCTCAAACTCTCAAATAGCACACTGGTGCCGGGCAGGTGGAGCGCATCGACATGGGCAAGATCGATGGGGAGGCCACCGCCAACATGCTCCCCAACCTTCTCCCTGAATCCCGCCCCTAAGCCCTAAGCCCCAAGCCCTAAGCCCTAAGCCCCAAGCCCTAAGCCCCCTAAGCGCCCTAAGCCCTAAGCCCTAAACTCTACACCCCCAAACTTCCAAACCCATTTCTGAACCCAGTGAACCCGTCCCGAAGCATCTGGATCTTGGCAGGAGCTCACACAAGCCGATTTGGCTCCAATCGCGCATAAGCATCTTGTCGTGAAGCCTTTGGCGTACCAGGGTTTGGGTTCAAACCCTAAACCCTAAACCCTAAACCCTAAACCCTAAACCCTAAACCCTAAACCCTAAACCCTAAACCCTAAACCCTAAACCCTAAACCCTAAACCCTAAACCCTAAACCCTAAACCCCAAACCCCAAACCCCAAACCCCAAACCCCAAACCCGAAACCCGAGAGAAGCCTTGAGGAGAGCAGAGGGTGCTAGACTCCATTCCGGCGGGCGGGTTTAGGGTTTAGAGTTTAGGGTTTAGGGTTGAGGGTTTAGGGTTTAGGGTTTAGGGTTGAGGGTTTAGGGTTTAGGGGTTAGGGTTTGGGGTAGGCCCGAACAGAAGCCTGAAGTAAGAAAGGCACAGGCGAAATGCGCAAAGTCTATTAAGTAGGTAGGGTTTGCGGTTGAGATTTAGGGTCTAGGTTCACGCCTGAACTCTAAACCTTAAACCCCAAAGTCCGAAATCAAACCCCTCAAATATGAATTACAAACCCCAAGCCCTAAACCCAAACGGCAAGCCCTGAACCCTGAACCCTGAACCCTGAACCCTAAACCCTAAACCCTAAACCCGAAACCCGAAACCCTAAACCCTAAACCCTAAACCCCAAACTCCAAACCCTAAACCCCAAGCCCCAAACCCCAACCCTAAACCCTACCCTACTGACTTCATCGCTGCCCCCAGAAATCCCAAAAGGTGCGGACCCGGCGCGTGGCGTTGGCGGGTGCGCGAGTGGCGGCCGGCTCCCAGAGGTCTGGGGACTGAGGGCTTCTCAACGAATTTGCTAGGGGGCCTAAACCCTAAACCCTAAACCCTAAACCCTAAACCCTAAACCCTAAACCCTAAACCCTAAACCCTAAACCCTAAACCCTAAACCCTAAACCCTAAACCCTAAACCCTAAACCCTAAACCCTAAACCCTAAACCCTAAAACCGAAACCCTAAACCCTAAACCCTAAACCCTAAACCCTAAACCCTAAACCCTAAACCCTAAACCCTAAACCCTAAACCCTAAACCCTAACCCGAAACCCCAAGCCCTAGACTCCAAACCCTAAACCCTATACACCCTTAACCCACTTTCTTTGGGGCAGGGGGCGAGCAGAGGATGCCCTGCCAGATGCTGGCGAGTCCAAGCGCCTAACTCTAGTTTAGGGTTTAGGGTTTATATACGGTTAGGGTTTAGGGTTTAGGGTTTAGGGTTAAGGTTTAGGGTTTAGGGCTTCTTCAAAATCTGCTTCATCCGATGACTTGCTCCTACATGCCGAGATCAATCACATGTAGAGCCCCTCTCCCCTCTAACAGCCCTAAACCCTAAACCCTAAACCCTAAACCTCAAAAACACCCCAAAACAGCCGCCCCATCGCCGTCGCCGTTTGCTCACCAGCGCTGAGCTTCGCGCCCCGCCCACGCGGAGCCTCGGCGCGCCGCGGCTTTCCTGGGGTGGTGCAGGGTTTAGGGTTTAGGGTTTAGGGTGTAGGGTTTAGGGTCTAGGGTTTAGGGTTAGGGTTCAGGGTTCAGGGTTTAGGGTTTAGGGTGTAGGGTTTACGGCTGGGTACTATTTAGTTAAGAACCCCCCCCCCCCCCCCCCCCCCCCCCCCCCAATTTTTTTAAAAACAAGCAAGATCTTCTTCCTTGTAAGGCCAATATAGGGATCATCTTTCTTTGTTTTGTTTCTTTTTGGGGGGTTCTTAAGCAGAGAGGAGGGGTTGCGGGATTTGGGGGATTTGGGGTCCAGGCCTAAACCCTGCCTGAACCCTAGTACCTTCGTTTCGCTGTTGTTGAGACGGTGAAGAGTTCGGTGCCTAGAGCGTTTTTAGCGCTAGAGGCGTAGTGTGTGCAGAAAAGTTGGGTTTAGGGTTTAGCGTTTAGGGCTTAGGGCTTAGGGCTTAGGGATTAGGGCTTAGGGTGTAGGGTTTAGGGTTTCGGGTTCCGGGTTTAGGGTTTAGGGTTCAGGGTCGTTTTTGTTTTTGGCTGTGTTCTTGCGCAGCCTATGTAACTGATTGCTCTTCTCTCTCGCTCAGTGAGTCCCTTGCCCTACCTCCAGCAAACCCATCATGTTCATCACGCTCTCCAATTGAGTTTTCGCATCTGCGGAAGAAACTTTCTCTCCTCCGGTATGGCTCCAAGTTATGAAGGCATCACACCCTCATTCTCCCTAAGCCCTAAGCCCTAAAGCTTAAACCCTAAACCCTAAACCCCAAACCCTAAACCCGAGCTGAATATATGCGTCATGGCAGTTCTATGTTCATCTGTTTCCAAGCTTGTTGCTGCCCTGTTAATTTGACAGTCCTTGAGCACCCAAGATCCAAATAACTAAGCACAGGCCACGGACCTCTTTTGCGCATGCCCTGCATCCTTAGGAAATCCGAAGCCCGGAACCCCAAACCTTGAACCCCAAACCCCCACAAAACCTAAACCCGAAACCCCTAAACCCCTAACCCCAAATTCCAAAGCCCCAATCGCAGTACCCCCAAAACCCCAACCCTAAACCTTAGCTATACCCTAAACCCCGAAACCTTGACTATAGCTCTAAGCCCCTAAGCCACTAAGCCCCTGGCCCCTAAGCCCCTAAGCCCCTAAGCCCCTAAGCCCCTAAACTCTTAAACCCTAAACCCCTGAACCCCTGAACCCCTGAACCCCTAAACCCCTAAACCCCTAAACCCCTAAACCCCTAAACCCCTAAACCCCTAAACCCCTAAACCCCTAAACCCCTAAACCCCTAAACCCCTAAACCCCTAAACCCCTAAACCCCTAAACCCCTAAACCCCTAAACCCCTAAACCCCTAAACCCCTAAACCGCCCCAAACCCCTAAGCCCCTAAGCCCCTAAGCCCCTAAGCCCCCAAGCCCCTAAGCCCCTAAACCCTCAACCCCTAACCCCTAGACCCCTAAGCCCCTAAACCCTAAGCCCCTAAGCCCCTTAACCCCCTAAACCCTCAACCCCTAACCCCTAACCCCTAACCCCGTAACCCGTAACCCGTAACCCCTAACCCCTAACCCCTAACCCCTAAACCCCTAACCCCTAACCCCTAACCCCTAACCCCTAAACCCTAAACCCTAAACCCTAAAACCCTAACTCCCAAAGCCCCAAACTCCCAAAGCCCCAAACTCCCAAAGCCCCCATCAACAAGGCATCCTATGCAGCGGGCACGGTGTTCAGCCCAGTCCTTACTTTCTCATGCCGCGCAGAAAACGCCCCGAAAACCCGAACCCCCAAACCCCACAGGGTTTAGGGTTTCGGGGTCGCTTTAGGGCTTCTTTTTGGGGAGTTTTTAGGGCTTTTTTTAGGGCTTTTTGAGTTTTTGTTTCGGGCTTTTTAGGGTCTTAAGTCCTAAGTTGATTATTAACACTATTATTGTTAGTATGACCATTCTCATAGTTATTATCATACTTGTTATTTAAAAGGTATTACAGGGATTTTGGGGGTTTGGGGTTTTAGGGTTTTTTCGGCTTTAGGGTTTGAGGCCTTGGGCTTGAGGTGGTTTAGGGCTTAGGGGTGTTGAGCTGTTTGAGGTTTGCAGGGCTCAGGGTCCAGGGTTTAGGGTGTGGGGTTTAGGGTTTGGGGCTTAGGGGCTTAGGGCTTAGGGCTTAGGGTTTAGGGTTTAGGGACTCGGACGCGCTTCTCAGGTTTTTGTGGTTTGCAGGGTGCAGGGTTTAGGTGTGGGCAGCCAAGAAGGTTCAGAGGTGCTAGGCCTTCGAACCGCCAGCGGCGAATACACACATGCGATTGATTACTTCTCTGATATCTCGGTGAAGCGTTTAGGGTTTAGGGTTTAGGGTTTAGGGTTTAGGGCTTGGGGCTTAGGGCTCAGGGCTCAGGGCTCGGGGCTCATGGCTTAGGGCTGAGGGAGCTACTTTTACGCTCACTGGAAGTCAGGGCTTGGTCAACCCTAAGCCCTAAGGCTTAGGGTTGCGGGCTTAAAGCCCGCAACCCTTGCTCCCTTCAAAAAGTGTGGGTTGCGATGTTCCCCCCTTATACTAGCAGTCCTTAATAGGGTTTAGGGTTTTGGGTTTAGGGTTTAGGGTTTAGGGTGTCCTTAATCCCTATGAAGGACTGCTAGTATCAGGGGGGGAACATCTTGGAGTGTGGGCCAGGCACCCGGAACGGCAACACAATGCCGGGAGCCGCTTCCTCAGCGATACCTCTTCGGGGGGGCTTTGGGTCAGGGCTTAGGGTCCGGGGTGTAGGGCCTAAACCCGAAACACGAAACCCCAAACCCTAAACCCTAAACCCGAAACCCGAAACCCTAAACTTGAACCCTAAACCCTAAACCTCTAAACCCTGAACCCTAAACCCTAAACCCCTAAAACCTTAACCCCTAAAGCCCCTAAACCCCTAAAAACCCTAGAAACCCTAAACCCCTAAAAACCCTAAACCCTAAACCCTTAACCGTAAACCCTAGACCCTAAAACCTAAAACCTAAAGCCTAAACCCTTTGGGTTTTGGGGTTTCGGCTTCGGAGAGAACTGGGTGGGCAGCGGGTCGAACGTCCTTCGGAGAGTGTAGGGTTTGGGGTTAGGGTTTAGGGTGAAACTTCCTGGTAGCCCGGCGGCCCCCCCCTGTCGCACTTTTTGTTGGTTCTGGGTTACCTTCTAGCTTAAAAAGTGCCCAATCCCAAACAGGGAACCCTTAGTATATTTAACTATGGGTATTGGGCTGCCAAGTCTTTATGAACACGATTCGATCGACAAATAATTCGAAGTTGGAACCATGCTCTCACAAATCGTGAGCCCGACGCACTCAGTCCTAAGTCCTACACCCTGGCTCCAAGACCCTAATCTCTTACCTGTAGAACAACTCTAAATCCGAAACCTAAACCCTAAGACCAAGGGGGCTCGACATGTGGGTACCGATGGCCTTGATGTCTTGCATGCGATGCTGAAGAGTATAGGGAGCTACAGGGGGTTTCCATGAGTTTGGGGGGGGGGATGTGTTAGGGTTTCGGTTTGAGGTTGAGGCTTGAGAGTATAGGGAGCTCAAAGAAGACCCGGCAAAAGGAGCCAGAACCCTAAACTCTATAAGCCCAAATCTACACAAACCCTACAACCTAAGCCCTAAACCCTAAACCCTAAACCCGAAACCCAAAGCCGCCTCACAACTCGACGCGCACCAGGCCGACACAGGGCTCGGTGTCGAGAAGTGCCTGGGCTGGCGTTTCAAGGACCCTAAACCTAAACCCTAAACCCTAAACCCTAAACGCTAAACCCTAAACCCTAAGCCCTAGACAGTATAACGGCCGCCTTGCTCTCTGCCTTCTGATGGTGGGGTGGACGCATCCTACATCACCGGGTGTCGGGCGCGAGACTCACAAACAGGTTGGACGCGGGGCTTTGGCCGTGCCGCATTTTGTTGGGCTTGTTCACAAGCAACGTCAGCCCCAAACCCTTAACCCAATGAGGTTTGAGGGTTGTACATGACTTGTAGTTTCAAGCTTCTAGGTTTGGAGCCTGACAGACATCATATAATATATCATAATATAGTCGAATATGATATAATGAAATACAATGTAATATATAATATAATATAAACGCATACGTACCTGTATGGGTGTAAAGATATACATATATACAAATCAATAAATAGTTGTCATGAACACAACATCCCAACTTTGTGCATACAGCTATCTGACTCTCATGCAGGTACAATAAAAACTACTACAATTTTTATACCAAATCTTGCTTATCGGGGGTTGTGGCGTGTGCCCCAATAGCTGTCCTACATTGGACACTCAACATGGCGAAGATAGGGCCGA